TTGAAAACCAGGGAGTACTGGACAGCGCTTTCGTCCTAGTCTGGGACTCGTCGGAAGTATGTAGTCACTGGAGTTCGAAGCCAGGGCCTTCCGGTTACAAGTGAAGTTCGTAGACCATTCAGCCTCGGGGACCCGACTCAATGGCCCATGAATTCTAACTTCTATCAATTTGCGATTATAACGTGATCCACGTGTTCAATGGTTCTCTGACTGATATCAAACCGCGGTGAGCCTTGAGACCAATGTTGACTGAATCTAGATTGTAAGGGACAAATTTGGGTGTGGATAAATCATAGCGTGGACTAGATTCATGTAGTTTTTAATTTTTATTATAATGGCTGTTTGGCTGAGCTGAGATAATTGGGATATTAAGAAGTGTCATTTACAACAGGTCAAATCTACTCACCCATCGTCATCTCTGAAATTCTTTACTTGAGTTCTACCTTGTTTGTATAGTATTTCAAAATACCACCAAAATATCTCAGACTGCAGATAGACACCCTTATTACTTGGATTGAGTTTTATACATTCAAGTGGCTGGTATTTCTGCTAGTTGCATTAAATAGGTGATTTTATTCATCGTTCATTCGTAGAAAGTGTTTCATGGGGTCGTATCACTATAGACATATATCATGTTAAACTGACCTATAATAACGTAAGTGGTTTCAATGGTCGTAAACTGTTGTCTCACATTTCCCGAAATATTATTTTGTTTATCCGACTCTCTTACAATACCTTTGCATGATTTCAACCTTAACTGCTGTAATATTTCAATAAGGTTTACTAAAAGCTGAAAACTTCATGTTAGAGTCGTTTAGCATATTTGTAGGTGCTCACAGAATGATATCCAATCGTTGTCATGTAGCTTTGTCAAAAAAAGATGACATTTATTATTATAGATGAAAGTAGAGTGAAAGTAGAAGAGTAGATGAACAATTTTCATGTGTCCACATGTTTCTTTAGAATAGGATCTTATTGAATGATGATGATGAAGTTGATTTATTACAGTTCGGTAACTAGTCATCCGTTTTCTTACCACCTAAGGTAATCGGTTTGTTAATCTAATGTGTATGTTCTATTGTATATTCAACAGATTGGTTATTTTCTTTATCCACTATTATTATTATTATTGCTATTATAATCCTTCCTTTTTTCAGAAAAAATACCCGGAACAGTCGTTGTCAACTGTTTTAAAGGAAGCGGTTGATAAATCGAATGCAGACGATCGGCTTTTTGTGTGAGTGCTCGTTTCTTACTTACATGTTGTTCTATTTAAGTGTTCTTGTATCAAAGTTATTCACTGCATTTTTCCAACTAAAGTTAGTCATATCTCAACATTGAAGTTAAAAAAAGTATGCTATCATAGATGTTAAAAAAGAATAAGCCACAGTCTTTGAAAATATTATTGTAATGTAGTTCTATTGTGCTAGAATAGCAGTACTCAGCTTTTAACCGATTTTGATTAAAAAAAATCTAAAAAAGGCATTACAATTGTTAGCCCGTTTTTAAGTGAGTACACGTGAGGACTACAGTAAGTACATGTCACTTGTCCACATAAACCTAACAGTTAACCTTCGAACATATTAGTCACTAAACCAAAATTTAATTCACGAATTTTTTCATGCAAGAGGGCAGTAACAAAAGTGATGAGTTGTCACAACCATAGTTGTTAATATTAGTCAATCCATAAAAGTTGAATAAGTGTATTAGAGTAGAGTTGCGTAATAGGATGAATAATTTAATGGGTGAGTTGTGATCAGGATGTACGTAGAGACGAAGCAAAATATGGAATTATGTAGGAGTTTTAAAGAAATAGAAAAGTCATAAGGAGTTAGAAAGGCAGGCACACAAACATCAAGTCAGTAGACATCAGTAAGGTTGTTACCATGCTAGTAGAAGTCGTTGAATAATTTTCCTTTGTATGCATAATATCTTCGGTTTCTCTACCTGAATGACTAAGGCTTCAGCAATGGGAAGGAGACGAAAGTTTATTTCCTTTTGCAGGTTGTTCTGAACTGTGTGTATTACTTTGATGGAAGAGGCGTTTGTTGAGATGCAATGACCAGTTTCGACAAGGTGTTCGATTGTGTCACTGCTTATAGAGCCACTACTACCTTTTTACATCTATACTGTAGGATGGTGTTCTGGAACCCTTTCAGACAGGATACGCGTCCAACGACCAATGTCCCTGGCCGGCTCCACAGCAACAGGTGGACTGATATGTGTACATAGAAGTGGTCAGGTGTGAGATGTTGTCCTCAAGGCTTCTGTAGACCAGTGGACGTCTGGAGAACACTACTACTATTACTAATACTAGCACTACTCGAAAATATTGCAAATTCAGCATTATGTGCATCTCTGTGATAGGCTGAAATAGCCTGACTTACCGATCATTTTTGTAGTGTTATAATATACTGAAGAGTGTATAATGATTTTACTGAAGTTGGTTGGATCTCGGATAGATCTTAAGGCTACTATCCCCATTTTCTCTAACTAGTTAATATCTTTTAAAAAGATTGGTAATACACTAGGCCAATCTCACAAAAGATTCTCAGTGAGCTTTGTTTAATGTAAGCTGGCTTATCTGATATGGCACATCGTGTGATACAGTGAAGTATTATTTACGAAGTTCGAAAGTTGTGTGAGTATCTTGATATGATTACGAGAGGCAATAAGTTGTGCTTCAAACGTCATCAGTAAATATTACTGTATAACACTGTGGGACTTTATCAAAATAGATTTTACCCACAATGGAATTATACTTTACCACAGTGCACAAGTTCTATTTTTAAATCAATGAATCTATCTAATCCATGGGCTTTATACAACTGTTGTATTTTGTTGTTTTGTTTTTTTCCTTTACAGTTTCTTGGTTGTGATTTGTGTCCGACATTCTGTATGACACGCGAAGACTTAATTAGACATGCGAAGGTAGCTCATGGAATTGAAGTCGTTAATACTCCCAATATCTGTAATGAAGTCACAACGTCTGTTCCACCCAATGCCTCTTTGAATAATATACCAACAACGCTTGTAACCACTCCAACTGCAAATGACAATCTACCCATCAGATTGACGCGGACTACTACTACTACTACTACTACTACTTCTACTCCATCAGTGAACTCGAAAATATCAGGTAGACTACAATCTGGATCAGCTTCTATACGGATTAATGATTCCACTCTTAATAGACAGTCAACATATGAAAGTATTCAGTGTAGCAGTTACAATAGATACAGTGGTTGTGAGAGACGACCAGGTATTACTAATGAATATAATGTGAGGGGTGGTGATAACACAAGAGGAAGACAAAGTGGATTAGAGGCCACAACTATGTCCATCTCTGATATTGATGATGATGATGATGAGTTTGTCTGTCCAATGTGTGAATTTCACAGCAAGATCCGTAGCACGATAATGCAGCATATCATGGATGTTCATTAGGATTGTAATTCTACTACTACTACTAATGATAATCATAATAATAATTTGCTTTATTCCAGAAACAGTACTAGTGGTACAGTGTGGAATTTTCAGCACATATCTACAATATTTGCATCTAATTTTACAGACATTTAAAATAAGTAATTAAACAAACAAAGAAAATAAATCTGAAGACACCAACAGCAAAAAAAAGCAGGATAAACACAAAATAATTATAAATGCGAAAAAGTACAAAAGTCTACCAAAGTCTAATGCAGTGTTTGTGGTGGTAGTGTGAGTAATCCTGAATAATACAAAAAATTTTTTTTTAAGGTGGTGACTATGGCGCTCACAACCAATGATTGTCAGTTAATATTGCCGAAAAAAAAATAGAAAAAAGACAACCACAAAACTAATAATTACATGATGGTTAATGACAGGACAATTTGGTAATACTCATAGTGCTAATATAGTCGGAACCAGTAGATACACAAAGGAAGGAATACAGTAAAGTACAGAAAAGTAAGCCAATGTTAATATTTTAGGTAGCTAAGTATGTTTGAGAAGGAGTTCACTATAGAATACAAAATAAGAGAGAAATAAAAGAGCCTAAAATTATGTTGTTAATAACAGAGCAAGTCATAAGTTTCACGCTTAACATTGTCTCTGTCGCTTAGAACACGGGCCAAGTATGGTATCGTTGAGTTCCTGTACTTGGTTGTACGAGCATAGATTATTTTATACTGATTTCTGGCTTTACTTGATGAGATACAAGGCGAGAGTTGGGAATAGAGAGGGTGTTGGGGGTCGGAGAGTATGGTTTTTGACCATTTTTCGCATGTATTCAGATGCCTATCAACTAAAGTAGTGACGAGCTGACTGAGTTTTACACCATTAGTCCTACTGACTACCTTCAACATCCTTCTCAGGATGGCATAGTCCTTTTTCAGGAGACCAGGAAAGACTAACGGGGAGCAGTAAAGTAGAATAGGTAAGATACAAGAGTTGACAAATTGTGAAAGTAGAGGTTGGGTGATTCCAGATTGTCTAAGTTTCTTAATGTAGTAGGTAAGACAGAACACTTTCTTAGAAATCATTAGGATATGAGATGACCAAGTAAGGTCGGAAGATAGAACTAGACCGAGGTATTTAGCATTAGACTTAGTTTCAATTTTAGTCCCCTCAATGCAACAGTTTTCATGAGAACTTACTAGTGTTTGTAGATGTCGTTTATGCCTAAGGGAGAAGTCAATAGTCTGGCATTTTGAGGGATTCAGCATGAGACCATTTAGTTTGGACCACTCACTGATGTCCGACAGGAAGCTATTTAATTTGAGACAGTCTGACTGAGACTTAATGGGAAACGATACAGACAGGTCATCTGCATATTTGACGAAGTTGATTTCATCTGAGAGAGGTAAATCATGTAAGAAGAAGGAAAAGAGAAACGGAGAAAGAACAGCACCCTGAGGAACTCCAGCTTCAGTAAGCAAAGGAGAGGAAGATACACAATTATAAACCGTGTACTGCTTCCTATTAGAGAAGTAAGAGTGTAGCCAGTTGATAGCCCAGGGCTCAGTTTGTGTAAGGCTACTACTAGTCGCGCGCCTATCATTGTTGTCATTCATATTTTGGTCGTTTATATTATCACTTAAGAATACTATTATTATTATTATTATTATTATTATTATTATTATTATTATTATTATTATTATTATTATTGTTATCCATTGGGTTATTCGGATAGAAGGAAAGTATCATGTATCCTCAAGTTGATATTTGTTATTGTTGATTCAGTTAGTTTTCTGTGTTATTCGATTGCTGTGACGTTTACATTCACTGACACAATCGTCAATCTGCTAGAGGTGTGTTTACTGATATTAATTCCAAGTACTTCTTTATACTGCACACCAAAGTTCATATTTTTCTTCACCTTTTTTTTCCTATAGAGTTATGTGTTATTGTTAAATACCATTGTAATTATTATTATTATTATTTTTACTACTCATGAGTGTTTTCAAGTCTACTGTGTTATACCGCCACCGTTGTATTACTTTTCTCCAAGTTTGCTTAGTTATTCTGTTGAAACAATCATCCTGAAATAGAGGTAGTGGTGATTGTGGCGTGAAAACAGTCATCCTTTTGTTTCATAGGCGTGAGCAGTGTTGGTTGGTTGGTTGGTAGGCAAATGTTATACACGTGGGAGATAGTTTAGTTTAATACAGAGCTTCTCACAAGCTGACTGTGATTCGTCTCCCAACAGGAATTCATTGAGCCTATCCAGTATGTCGCTTATTCTTTCATAAGGCGGCAAAATTTGAAGTGTGTGAGGTTGTCTTCACTGAAATATGTTACCATTGTGAAGTTCTTCGCAGTGATTATCCAAGCGAATAGACGATATTTTGATGGATTTTCGACATGTAATGAGTCATTTCATGTATTGTGCTTCAACTGGGAGTGTGAGTGTTTACTTCGGAATGATGAAGTAATACTTTTGTGTAGATATCTGGCAACTATAATGACCATTCTCTTGAATACACCAGTCATCTATGGTAACCTGCTCACATTCGATGGCGAAGTGCAGGGCCATGATTACGACAGGTGACTGACTGGTGGTTACATCCTTGGCTCACTTAGTTAGATTCATTGACATCAAAGTGTTGAAAGCAGTCGAATATCATAGTGCTGTAGAGAGAGGGTGCAGCTTCTAGGACAGCATTTACAGTGATTCTAGACACGAGTATCTAGATATGTCATACTGGAAATATTTGACTACCGACTGGATGGTTGGTGTTATGATAATCGAGGGGAGTGTATGACTCCTTCAGATGAGTGTATCACTCCTGAATTAATTTGACGAAGTAACTGATTGGCCTGTCAAATATGACAATAGTAGGGTCTTGCTTTACATCCGTATCCACGTTTAATTCTTGTCAAGACTGTGTATTGACTGTGAGGAGATTAGGTGTGACTTATTTGAAGTATCCTGCCTGCCCATAGGTTTTCGTCAGTCCCTAGCATGTCACGATTAATTGGAGAAACTGGGACCAGTTTTTACAGCATCTTACAGATATACATATATATATATATGTGTAATTCAGTTTTATTACATATATGCCTTATAAATACTTTTTTTCTAAATAAATGCCACTTTTTACCTAGGGGAATATAAATGGTAGATTCAAGGTCCTTTGACTTTGGTGTCTATTCCTTACTCTTGCCATTCGTCATTAGGCAGTACACCAAGTATGTTTTCCGGAATGTCAATTAACGTTTTTACTTCAGATAGTCTCTGAACTCCTCTTGTTACATATTCGTACTCATATATATGTTTGAATATTCAGAGACAAGCAACGGTGGGCTATTGTAACCTGTGTTGGTCCTTGCAATATTTGTGTCCGTCGAGATCCCCAAGCTTACAACAATTGTAAACTTATTCTAGCCTATTCTTCGATAATGCCTTTTTTATCGTCAATGAAAATTTTATGTACCCACTATGTTCTGAAGTAACGCTAGTCCGTGCTTAATATGTCCTGTGAGGGCTGGAACAACGCTGATAAGGAAGCCCAGTAAGTTCTGATCTACTCCTGAAAATGCCTAGTAAAAGAACGGGGTGCTGAAGTAGTGGCAGTCATGCTGAAAACCAGCACTGAGGTCTAGTCTATACCATTAAAGAATCCATTTCAGAACAGATTCAAAATTTACTCACTATAGAATGTTAGAATTATTTCAGAATTAGTGAGATTTAATTCAGAATAATAGTAAGAGTTTATTATGGAAGCTTATACAACTTGTTTTGGTAGACAGTTTTATTTGTTGACCATCTTGTGTGAGTATTTAGCTCTCATTTGCAATTTGTCTCATCGCGTTAATACGTGAATCATCAGTTACCATAGGATAAGCTGAAATTAGATCGCCTCTGCTCTTACGGTATGATAATGAAAAGAGCTTTATACTTTCTAACCTCTTATAGGGAAGGTTTGAGATATCTCTGACCAAATTAGCGTCTAAACTTTGTTCTCTGTCCATTTCTTGTGCCCCCTTGAAACATGGATTAAGTCCGTGTTCACAGTACCCAAGATGAGGTCTTAAAATTATTTATATTATTTATTGTTACATTTAAAAACCATTGGAAGCGTTCAGAGTGTTAGGAAAGCTTAAGCCACATCTGCACTAAATTATGTAAGCCTTAAAGTTATGATTGACAAGAATTCGTAAGTCTTTGTATACCTTGACCATAGACAACTCTAATAACCACAGAAAAGTTCACACCTTATGTTATGAACAATAGTCATAATCTGAAGGTTACGACACAACTTGTCTGTTCAAATCACTATACTTAAAATGGTTTGGGTCCGCAGTCCAGTTATTGATATTGTATGCTCAATTCGGAGAAGTATATTGAGCACCGTGCCACTTGTTTTGTACGTACTAGTGGGATGTCCAAGTTTCCAAATGACTCGAATTTCTTCAGATTCTAGAGATTTTTGGGTTCGTATTCAGCCTATCGGAAACCAGGTATACAAATGTAGATATTAATACGCCTTACTAATATTTAGCTCCTGATTGCTTTCAATATAGTTCAAATGCAATTATCACACTTCACCGTTTTCTCATAACAGAGTTCTCACAATTTTGTCTTCGTTTTTGTGCATCTGCTAAAAACACTTGTTGAATATTACTGCCGTTCACCTGTAGATTTCTTAATAATTCTGACCAAGTACATCGTGTCAATATTGTTTTCACCAAGAATATCTAAGGAAATTTGGCACTCAACTTGGTTTTAAGAATGACACAATGATGGTGTTCACCTACGGAGCAATCTCTGCTCACTTATACAATGAGCCTATATTTTATTTGTGAAGATAGGAAAGGAAATTATTTAACCATGGTTAACTAATCAGTAATCGTATAGTACAATTGCAGAAATTTGGCGTATTGTCGAACATGACGGTTATTTGGTCTTTATCGTATATCATTGACAAGAAGTCTCAAGAATGTTTCCTATTGGTCTACACGACAGGAGGTTCTGTTCAGTGATGACAATGTTTAAGACGACAGTTACTATAATAAATCGAGAATCTGTCAACATGATCGGCGGGCATCATGAAACTTAGTAATGTATTCTTTGTGTAAGCTGTGAATACGAAATTTCTCGCTAAGAAATAGGGTTACCGAGACCAGACCATCTAGTACACTACTGGGTAAGTTATTTGGTTGCTAATTGCATCTCTGTAATCATCATTTCTGCGAACTGTATCCCTACTTTGGTAGTGAGAATTTTCACTACTTTTTAGGTGTAAACGTTTTAAGTTTGGATATTTCAAATTTGTTGAAGAAACGATGCATTTTTTATTGCCGTACGTTTTTTATGGAAATTGATCACTTAAGTGTACGATATTAACTAGTTACAAGTGGTGACCAGAAATAAGTTGTCAATATTTTCATATGATTTTTCAATTACAGAATGAATTCAAACAACTCATTAAGACTTATACTCCCAAAGAACAATGTATGTCTATCTACTGTTAGTTCGAGAACGTCTACCTCTGGATCGGATTCGGTAATTCCAGTCACTTTATTTGTGTTATATAATAATAAAAGATTAATTTATTTACAATCCAAATTGTCTGATAATTACATCGTGGTGATGTTTTTGGATCTTTCTTTTTCGACATAGAACTTTGCACATATGTGGGGCAGTTCAAGTCACCATCCTTCAGTCAGTACACAAAGCAAGAGAAGAAAATAGGAGAAATGCATAACATAGGCAGTAAACAGAGGAATAGTAATAACGAAGAACAAAACAGTTTAACTGGAAATCATAAGTCACAAGGAGTGGATGCATCTGCACCAGCCATTGAGAAGGATTTTGAGCCATGTCACCAATTGTTTCCAACCGTTGGTTTTACCATCCCGAGTACCCCAACCAGGAAGTCTACACCTTCCTACGTGGCTTAGACTAACTGTTGTGGATTTCATTGACTGTTGCTATATTTTCGTTTGACTGCCGCTAGCTCTTTTCCAGCCTGGCCCTGTATCAGCTAACATTGCCTGTCGAGGAAGGCGATGACTAGGCATGCATGCGTAACACATGTCCTAACCATCTCAGTCGATGTAATTTCACAGTCCCGTCGACTGATTTCCCCACCTTACCTAGCACTCGACGCCTAACCTCAATATTGCTCACCTTATTATACCACTTCCCACGGGAGATAGAACGCAGACACCTATGATCGAAGACAGGTAATCTTTTCATGTCTTCCGCTCTCAATGGCCAGGTCTCACAGCTAGCCATAAAGGAGGACGGAGCGGACTGTTGAGTAGTACACCCGCCCTTTGGTCGATAGTCGGATATCACGTATAGGCCAGAGACGGCGTAAACTGGCATATGCGAAACTAGCCCTCTGTATTCGTACTGAGATTTCGTCAGAGATCAACCCGTTGGGGCTGATGGTACTTCCCAAATAATTGAAGTGGTCAACGTGCTCTACCACTTCACTTCCTACTTCTAATCTAGGGGTCGGTGTATTCCAATCCTGCAACATCATCTTACATTTTACAGGGGCGAATCGCATGCCAAACATTCTTAGATTGCAGCTGAAGGTGTTGAGAAGACTCTGCATTTTGTCAGCGTCCTCACCTAGAAGGACTATATCGTCTGCATATTCTAAGTCGACGAGATTATTCCCTGGTAGCAAGTCAATCCCTGAGTCTCTGAAGTGAGTTAGGGTTTAGTCCATGAGTACGTCTATGATGAAATTGAATAGAAATGGGGATAATGGGCATCCTTGACGGACGGCACTAGTCGTCACCACTTCAGATGACAACTCGCTGTAAGCCCTCACCTGGCTGCATGAGTTTGAGTAGAGTAGAGTGCCTTAATCAGTGCAATGTATTTTCTCGGCATTCCCTTTACAGCCAGGCATCGCCAGAGAACCTCTCGGTCGACAGAATGGAATGCAGCCTTTAGGTCAAGAAATATAATGATTGTTGGACGCCGGTAGGAATGCCTATGTTCTAGAATCTGTCGAAGGTTGAAGATATGATCAATGCACCCTCTTCCTGGCCTAAAACCTGCCTGCTAGCCAAAGTTGGTAGACAGTAATTGTCGTCAATGTTTATGTCTCCAACATTGGTGGTGAGAAAATGGGAACAAAGGCTTTGCGTAGGCGGATACAGTTAGCATATGGATGATCTGACACAGCCATAAAGAGATGGAAGGTTAACTTTCTGTGAGCAACAACCAATCAAACGACTGTATTTTCCACTAACAATAATCTACAATAGTGTACATTGACATCTGTAAATATGTGTTTATTTTCCTTAATAAACGATCTGTTGCCTGACCCTTGTCTTCTGTTGTTACAATACCTGTTGTAGCACACTTTGTTTTTTTAGGGTCTCAATTTCGTTTTATCATATTGTAGTGTTGTAATTTACCAGTGTTTTGCATTCCTTCTGATGTTGATTTCGTGTATTTCAGGGAACTCATGTAACAATAGTAGCCAGTTGTGTTTTGCTACGTAGTTTAATAATTTAGAAAAAATACGTTGTAGAGATATAATGATCTTGTCTTTAAAGGGAATGGTGTACAGAATTTTCGACAGTCGGTGTAAACAATTTTTTAATCGTGGTGTATTTAGGGGTTATACTTCAGGTTATTAACATTTATTCCTAAAGTTTTTTCAGAATGTTTACAAGTTGGCAACAGCAGCATTATGTAGTGTTAGTCAATGACCAAAACATTGACACTGATATCAATAATTAATCAATTAATAATTAATTATTAATTAATTAATTAATTAATTGGGTGTTCGAAGATATGTAACTGTGACACCCATAAACTTGACTCACTCCTGTATGCCTGAGAAGGAGGTAAGTGGAAAGCTACTTATGCTTATCACATCTTTGTAGCCTTTTATTGCTTTTTGTGCTAACGAAAATCGGAACTGAAAAACATGAAGGTGCATTACACCACCTGGACCATTGGATCGGATCCCAGTAGCTTAATTGTCCACGAGGTTTTCTTGTAAGCAGAAGGTCCTGGGTTCTAACCCCGGCGGGTGCGTACTGACGACGAGTCCCAAGCCAGGAAGAAACAGCTGTCCAGTACTCCAGGTCTTCCAACGGTTCTCCAACCGATGTCAGCTCATGATGAAATCCTGTAATTAATATTTTTCTATAATCCCGTCCTATAATGGGTGGTGTTTAGCAGTGTTTGCCCAGAGATTTGTGTAGGCCCATTAGGTCATGACAGGTGCACTACCCCTGAGTAATAGCCGCTACCTTAACGTGGTGGTAGGGTTTGCAGTGTCACAACGAAACAACGACTTACACTTGTTGGAACAAGTATTCCTGCAGTTTTTACCATGCCAGAAATATCGTTTGTGTAGTTAGGTGTTGAATTAGTGGCAGCTATTAATTATCACAGTGCAAGTTGGTCATGTGTTGGAGGAGTGTCTGAGGGCGAATTCCTACTGTTGGCGAATAGAGACGTAACAGGTAGCAACGAGGACGTTGCACTATGACCTTAACATAAACAAAAATTGTCAGTCTAGGGAAGAAATAACTAAACTTGCACCTAAGATTGACAGGAAGACTCATTCTGAGAGAGCATGGCATACCACCGATTCCTGTGTAAAACTGTGATCAAGGCTCTTAATAACCTGGAACCAACGGTTGGTAAATGGCGATGGATTTCTGCTGCTGATAGACTCAAGAACGCTGATTCTGGTAGGTTTTAAACATGACGAGGAAAGAAAGATGCTGAAATGCAAACTGACTTAAAGTCTCCACAATCACTGTGAACACTGGTGGGCGACAAAAGCGAAAGCGATGGAAAAGAATTCAGCAATAGATAACACCAGCAAACTATTTAGACTCATCGGTGAAACAAGTTGTAAAAAACCACTGGTATGCGAAACGATTTCTGGGAACGGTACTTTAGTTACCTTTCACAATTGAAACGTTGTGAGAACATCGACTGGCTTGACTAACATTGTATCTAAAATCCAATAGTCTCATGTGTAGACTAAGCAGCTCTCAAATGAAACACCCGTGGGAACAAGATATGTTTTCGGTTCAGTTGACTCCTAGTTTAAACTTAGGGGTGTGGGTTTGTGTGAATTGGTTAAGCGCTATGAAGTAAGAACTACAAACTGTTAGTGACATGGCTCAGCTGCACTCACGCCTCGTGATCCTCCAGATCCATGTAATCCTCATCTTTTTAAAATATTTATTCATAGTTCATAGTAGTTCCTTAGAATTTTGTTCTGTACCTTTGTGCAAAGTTTTACTTTGAAGAATCAGTCAGGCGGATTAACATGTATGCACTCAGTAGGTAAAGTAATTATGATACATAGGGTGGTTAGGTTTCATGATTGACGCGCAATCTTTAAATCACGAACTATTATATTTCAGCCGAATGGTTGTATGATAGTGCTCATGTCTGGAAACATGACGGTTCCCGCCGGTTCGTGAGTGCCTGCTGTTGAAGATTTCTACACCATAACGAATAACCAATTAGGTCACTGCTTTCTGATGTTGCTGTTTCTTTTCATGAGTCAATCACTAAGCTGGGCATTTTTTTTCATAATTTTTAGATTTTGATTTGGTTTGTAATTTTTTTCTTTCTGTCTTCTTATCAAAACAGCTGGTCTCTAGCTTGCCTTCGCCTTTACGTAGGCAAATGGAACGAATAAATCAGCGCCCTTCATTGGCTGTAAACACTGAATCAACAGAAATGGATGATTTCAGTGAAAATGATATCGTGCATTATGGAGATGTTGAATCCGGTAATCAAGAATTCAACCCTCTCAAAAGCTACCGCGAACTATATGCCAATGCGATTGTCCCTCGTAAGCATTTAAGAGCTACACATCGATGGGTTTTGCTACCGTCCCACAGTACTCCCCGATTACCGATTGATTCTGTAACGTTTCCACCTGGACCGCGTCACTCTGGCTTCGACGTGAATAAGGAAGGAAAACTGCGTCCAACTGTCAAGTTTTTGCTTCGCATAGGTATGGGCTATGTAACTGTCATTGCTTATTGGTTTTGAATAAGTATTTTATAAAAGGTTTCTGGTTTGAGTAATTATTTTATTAGACATCACTTATGAAGTGCGTTACCAGTTTGTTGTAATTTCCTGAGAAATAGGAAATTATTCCTAATGTATAGTGATCACTTCACCTGATGACGATGGTTCAGTAATCTGCCAGACAGTTTTCGTTCTCACCATTCTTTCAAGCTTTACTTTGGTTTTCACCACCTTGTATAGTAAGTATCCTTTGGTATCAATCAATGCAATACTACTAAAGTAGAACTTACAGAAAAGTGAGGTGAGAAAGTAAGTCGGTAGTTATACGTAATTAGAAATTTAGTGTATGAAACTCTACGCGGATCCTTCGTTGTTGATAGATAACTTACTGTTTTCAGTCAGTGTAACGTGTTTGGCAGTAATAATTGATAAGATCTTCGTGCATTTGTTTCGTCTATCCGTATTGTTCAATATCTCACAGTCGCTATTATTATCATCATCAGTATAGATGGTGTATCTCTTGGTGGTAACAGCCATTATGTTCCACGCATTTAGTGGCAGTTAGCGAATGATTCAATGATGTGTTAATACATTTCATTTGGGTGATGAAGTGTCTATGTGTACGAAAGGTTGTTTAGCAAAGGGTTATTGATTGATAGAAAAGGTTATGGAGCTGCATGGATGTTGTTTTATTGATCACTGCGGTGTAATTGCTCTGTAAGTATGGTATGTGCTTTGCACCGTGTAAGTGCAAAGTACTGTTACAAGATTGGCAGGAGCCTGTACCTGCACTCACTGTTGCGGGTGAACCGCTTGAAATATGTGTAAAACTTGGGCACTGTGGTAGTAAGTAATTCCATATTAGTTTGTTTATTAGATATATCACATAGTGAAACAGTATTATTTACTGGATGACGTTTCGAACAAAATTTATTGTTCATAATCGTATCAATTGTAATCACACGACTTTGACACTTGAGTTTTATAGTTTCCTTTGTTCTCTCCTATTTGTCGTATGGGTAGTTGAATTTTCGAGATATCGGGGAGAGGTGATGAATCATTCCTATTACATGTATTTGTAGTTGATTCGATAAACAAAGCTTCTGTTATCAATCTCTCCCTATGACATTAGATTTTAAAACTGTCATCCTATGCCATCCTATTGTATGGTTGTGTGTAACTGCATGTAGTGCTATAGCTGAACTATTCTCTAGATTTCTTATCTTGTCCGGGTCAACCAATCTAGATTTTGCTAGGTTTTTATGTTCAGCTAGTCTGACTGCCCCTGTTCTACTAGTATGACTTATGTATTTGACCTGACAATCATTCCGGCAGGGTATGAGATAAACTAAATTGTTTTGTCTTAAAGGCTCTACAGGATCGTTTAACCGACAAAGCTTGTTTCTAATTGAGTTTGTGGGTTTGAATGCCATTTTTATTACTGCCTGCTTGTTAAGAATTCTGCGTAAGGCTTCCGAGATTCCTTCCTTGTATGGAATTACTACTGATGATTTAGATTCCTTATTATTGGTGTCGTCATTAATATTATGAATATTATCACTATCATTATTATTATTATCATTATTATTGTTATTATCACTATCTCTGTTATCATTATTTATTTTATTTTTACATTTCCTTACATATTTCTTGACTAATTTATCCGTGTGATTATTAAGTTTCAAGGCTTCTTTTATATGTATCAGTTCCTGTTTTAGATTTTCTTTGGTACTGCTTAGTTTTTGTGCTCTGTCATTTAAACATTTCACCAATCCTATTTTTACTGACATAGGATGGGACGATCGGAAGTCCAAATATCTGTTTGAGTGTGTGGGTTTCCTGTAAACACACTACTGTGTTTAACTTCTCATCTTCTTTCCTCTTTACGTTGCAATCTAACATTGGGAGCTGCCCTTCCTGATTTTCCAATTCATAAGTGAATTGAATTGCTTCAACCTTCGAGTTGATGTGTTCGAAAAACCTATCTATATCTTGTGTTTTAAGTACAGTGAATGTGTCATCTACATACCTCCACCATACTTTTGGGGTTGGGGTGAACGTTTCAATCGCTATGCTTTCCGACTTATCCATGAATATATCTGCTACAACTGGGGATATGGTGATCCCATGGCAACTCCTTCAGTTTGTTTGTATATTTTCCCTTGAAGTTTAAATACTGTGGAAGTCAGGCATAGCTGTACTCCCAGCATTATGTCCTCAAGTGGCACTTTTGTCCTGAGTTCGATTTCTTGGTCAGAAATGAGTTCGTTTCTGACTGCCTCCATAGCCATATTTATTGGTATACGTGTGTATAAGCTGATAATGTCAAAACTAACCATTTTTTCTTCATTATCTAATTTTAAATTATCTAATGTGTGTTTTATTTCATAAGAATTTGTTAGTCTAGATTTCGAGTGGATTTTTAGGGGATTTAATACCATGGCTAAATATTTAGATAATTCATAAGTAGGTGAATTTCTAAAATCAACTATAGGCCTAATAGGGTATCCTGACTTATGAACTTTAACAACACCATACATCCTACTGGGGTTATTAGTTTTGGGCATTAAATTAAACCACTTAGAGTCACCTAGAAACGGCTTCATTCGGCGTATAAGGTCCGCTGTGGATTTATTAACTTTATTCATAACTGTATCTATTGGTTTATTAATTTCCACATATGGTCCTGTTTGTATGTGAGTATTTACCTTGTCCAAATAGTCTGATTTGTCTAATACAACTGTTGCATTTCCTTTGTCTGACTTTGTGATAACTATATCCTTGTTATTCTTAAGGTGTTTCAGGGCTTCTATCTCTTGTTTTGTCAGGTTGGGTTTTCCACATTTTTGTCGTTTTAATGTCAGTGCACACTGTGCTCGTATTTCATCAGCCGTGGTTTTGTCTATCCCACTTAGTGCTATTTCTATTTCAAAGTCGTGTGATTACAATTGATATGATTATGAACAATAAATTTTGTTCGAAACGTCATCCAGTAAATAGTACTGTTTCACTATGTAATATATCTAATAAACAAACTAATATGAACCGCTTGAAGTTGTTGATAAGTTTGTGTATCTGGGTAGTTGTGTGAGTGCTGGCGGAGGGGTGACGGATGAGATTTCCAATCGTGTAATGAAGGCTAGGGTGGCATACATCAACTTGAGCCACCTCTGGCGCCGTCGCGACGTTAGCTTGGCTGTCAAAGGTCGGGCATACAATGCTTCGGTGCGGGCTGTCTTGCTCTACGCCTGTGAAGCCTGGCCTCTCCGAGCTGAGGATGTGAGCCGACTCTGCGTGTTTGATCGTCGCTGTCTCCGCAGGATTGCTTGCGTTCTATGGCATCGTCGCGTGAGTAATTCTGAGGTTCGGCAGCGTGTGTTTGAACACAGTGGAGATCACCATTCATTGAGTGTCGTTATCTGGGAACACGGGTTCCGGTGGCTTGGACATGTGCTTCGAGTGTCATCCCAGAGGCTTCCGTACAGGTCTGTGTTCGCTAGTCCTGGGACGGGATGGAAAAGGCGGAGGGGTGGTCAGTCCATGACGTGTCGTCGTGGGATGAAGGATTTTTGTGCTAGATTAGCATCGATTGGTGCGTCACGACTCCCTGGTTGGGGTCCGCGAGATAGCTCGTATCGATGGCTCGAAACGTTATCGGATATGGCGGAGAGTGGTGATCAATGGCGAACGTGTTGCAATTTCCTTCTTCCTTCCCTTCGTGATGATAGTTCAGGAATACTGTTTGAACTTGTTAAACATGACTGTTCTCCTTCCAGATGAAGTTCTTTATCCGTTCTCTCCTTATATTTTTAATTTTAATCTATGTTGTTTTACTATTATTGTGTGGCGCATCTTTCTTGGTGTCATATTATACCAAGTTTTTTCTGCGTTTAAATAAAATAAATAATTGCTCACCTCACTGTTACAATTCCTTATTACTTTCTGTTGACTCATATCAATGACTACTTTCAACTCTTGTCATGTGTTTATTGATTCTCTCCATGTACACTGTTAGGCACACATGACTTCTTGAATTGCTATACTTTTCGAGATAGTGTACATCTCTATAATCTGCAAAGGGATTATTTTTCTTAGTGATAAAAATCAGTATCTCATAGTTGCACTAAGCTAACTGTAGTGGTTTAGTGTGTATACTAAAAGTAAGCTGTACAAGGTTGATTAACAGTGGGCGAACAAACGTGTGTAGCACAGATTGCAAGTATCCATTGGCGGTTAGTGCCTAAAAAGTATAAATCTAGTTGTTGTTTTTTTGTTTTTGAAGTTTCGTATCACTCATTTTGAAAGAACTGCGATTACTGAATTTTTTGTTATAAATTGGGTTGAACTGAGCACACGACTCAAAAAGTGTGACTTCCCAATAAAATCATTTTATTTGTATAGTTTGCTTTTTCTAAGAGCTTAGCATTGAAGAAGTAACTGATATTAAAGCTATTTTTATTAGCTGCAAATCTAGGAATTATTTCCAGATTTTTGAGGATTTTCGATTATCATTTTTGATATAATATCTTCTATTCAATCTTTTAAAGGAATATTTCGCATCCCAACTGTTTGTAATTACACCTTTTGTCACTTTGTTTA